TTTTTTGAACGTTTCAATTTCTGATTTTCGCTTCGTTTGATTTTTGTTTGTTTGTTTGTTTGTTTGTTTTTTCTTCTATAGCTCATAAAGACCAGATACAACTCGCAGTTTTTTTGATTTTCAAGCAATCGGACGTACAGTGAAATAAATCAAACAAAATATAACAACAAAAATCCCCCCACCGGGGAGGTTAGGAATAAAGGTCTCTTTTTATTCGTAGAAACAAAATCCAAAGTAACCATGCATAATACAGTGACCCCTGGCCGTAATGTCGACGCTTTATTGGTGGAACGAGAAACTTAATATGCGTTTATACTTGTCTGCACTCGTCTCATCTTTGGACTTGTAGACATACACTTCTTAAAGGACTCATCTGGCAACGATTTTTTCGATAGCAAATATGAAAGATAAGACACTACATCCAAGATCAGCCATGTCCACTGTCACTACTGTTTGCTCCATATGTTTTGTGCTGTTGAGCTGTGGTGAGTTTATGCGTATCGAACTCGTTATGAGACAGCAAAACACAAGAATAAACCAGTTGGAGAAGAAGATGACCCGTGCGTTTAATGACAAGATCTTCGTCAATGCCGAAGAAAGAGGTGATCATATTTACTTCGCGAGAATGGAAGACCATCGCAAATCGAATAGACGTTTTGTTCGTAGTGTGCCGAATAACAAGGAAGCAAACGAAACGACGTATAAAACTATAGACGCAAAATTAACAAAGATGATTGAAGGTAAGATAAATAAAGCCATTTCTGCGAAGAACTTCATCGCTATTCAAGGTAGAAGAGGTAGAAGAGGGCCCAGAGGACCACCAGGACCCATGGGTAAACCAGGTAGAATAGGAAAGCAAGGGATGCCTGGTTTAAAAGGCGATCCAGGACAAAATGGAGCTCCTGGTCCTCGAGGCATGCAGGGTCCCAAAGGGGACCGCGGTCCTTCGTTAGAACCTCCATCAGTCGTGATTTCACCGCCTCATTTGATCGTCAATGAAAGCAACTCCGCCATTTTTCATTGTTCTGCAAGTGGTTATCCACGGCCTGAGATTGTTTGGACTAAAGTCAACCGTCTTTTAGCAGGAAATAGGTCAGTTGTCGACAGCACTGGAAAGATACAGATAATGAACGTGTTGCCCAATGACACGGGAATTTACCAGTGTCAGGCTTCTAGCATTCTTGGTAAAGTACGAGATACAGCACGACTTGTGGTAAACTTCAGCCCGAGAATTCTTCTCGCAAACGGACCAGTCCGCGTAAAGATTGGAAACAATGCAACTTTTCCGAAGTGTCACGTGACTGGCTATCCCACACCAAAAGTCACGTGGTCCAAGTCAGTTGGTTCATTACCACGATCACGTGCTACAATGAATAATGATCAGCTTAGTCTATTAAATTCACGAATGGACGATTCTGGTGCATATTTGTGTACTGCTGAAAATGTCCTTGGAAATGCCGTTGGTGAGTCAATATTAATTGTTGTACCACTTCCTGTATTTACAATAAAGCCAGCCCCGAGCTATTATAACTTAGCTGGAACACAACTGGCCTTTAACTGCTCAGCAATTGGAAATCCTAAACCTGTTATTTCATGGCGAAAAGAAAATGGTGTTCTCCCTGTAGGACGACATGAAATAAAACAAGATGGTTCTCTTGTTATTAAAAATTTGGTTAAATCAGATTCCGGTGTGTACATTTGCACGGCTACGAGCGCTGATGTAGCTGATGTACAAGCTAGAACATTGTTAAGAGATCCATATATAGATTGCTCTGGTGTGTTGAGATCGAGTAACACAAATAGTAGTGGAGTGTATGAAATAAAACTTAACAGTCAGAGAGTCTTTCGAGTCTACTGTGACTTGACAACTGACGGAGGGGGGTGGACATTGATCGCACGGTTTTCTAACAATGATACAAAGAACTGGATGCGAGACGACGGTCTGTGGTGGTACGACCTCATGACGGGCAAAGGAAACACCACGAATACATCTGAGAACAAGGATATGATATCGCCGGCATTCTGGTCAGTTAGAGGAAGAGAGATTAAGATCACACGATCTGACGACCCTTTACACACTGCTCTACTACGAACTACAACGAACTGTCTAGGCTCTCGCACGTTTCGAGCAAAAATATCGAGTTACGGAATCTTTAAGAGAAAAGCAGTATGGTCAAATGATAAATGCCTTGGCAGATGTGATGTTGTTTATGGTGGATACTATCAAACTACCAGTGGGTTCAACCAGGCTCAGTGTTCAAGTAACCTACAGTCTAGCAATAAGATAGGATTCTGGTGTAACTGGAGACAGGGGGATGGATCAGTCATGATGATTGGTGGAGGTGGGAATTCTTGTGGGCGTGCTGATCACGGGATTGGAATAACAGAATGTAATAAGGGCTCATTTGAAGAGTGGAGTGACAAGGGTGAGTTCGATTTTGGAAATGATGCAACAGTTTCTAAAACTACTTCCCGTTCAGCAACATATTCTCTCAACTTATGGATCAAATAAACTTTTTTTCTTGGACCATTGATGTCTTATAACTAGAAATATAAAGCGAAACATTTTTTTAACATGAGGGGCACCTAGTAAACTCCACCCCTGGAAGTGAAATCCTGGATTTTTCCTCACATATCTCCAAAGGTAAATCGCAGGCATGAATAATTCAGGGTTCCCAGACATTTTGAAAATAAAAATTCCCTGTCTTTCCCCTGACTGAATAACAGTTTTCACTGACCTTGTTGAGCCGCATGGGCGAGCATGGGCCACATGCATAACTTTTACCTAGGCCCCGCTCTTATCATATTACACAGGATACCCAACATAATTAAACTGTCCGGCATAAATGATACTAAATACTTATCAGTCTATTCGAAAATTGCAAACAGTATGAGTATCACACGGATATTCATAGCTAACTTTTAAAAAAATTCCCTGACTTTTTCCTGACTTTTCCCTGACCCCTGGGAACCCTGAATATACTAGCTGTTTCTATGTATGACTATCTATTTTTGGAATATTGTTTTGACCTTGTTCATTATATCAACACCAATTACTGACCGGAAAACTCCTGCGTTGTCTGAAGACCAGTCAGTAATACTTTGATACTATAGAAGTTTCTGGTAGAAATCTTACAACATCAATAAAATACCATAGATTCCACTTAACGACTGTCTCTAAGGGACGGACCATTAGATAGTTGATGGGGGGTTGCGTAATTCCCCCCAAAAAAAATCGGGCAAGCACTTAAACCTTTAAAAAAATATCGTGCAACCTCTTCTGCTAGAAGAAAAATATCTAACTGTACGTAAAAAAATATCGTG